ACCCTCAATTTTATAATGCTTTTTTCCTCACATAATTGGAGCTTTGACCCACAATTTGTCATGACTAATGGTTGACCCTTATTTTTTAAATTCTTTCTTTATCTTGTTGACCCTTGTTTATTGACCCTCAATTTCAACCCTTAACCCTACTTTGCACTCTGTCATTTGACCCTACCCCTAATTCTCGACTTTCATTTTTGACCCTCGAAAAAATTCTTGGATTTTAAAAATAAATGGAATCGGCGCATATCATGTGGCGATTCTCCTGACTAGATTAAATGATGACCGATGATTCCAATATATTCAAAGATTCAAAAAGCTTGTTTTGAATTCTTATCCCGAAAATAATCTGATAATTAACAGAATGACAAAATGTAAAAAAATATATTTAAGGCCCGGATGGACTGCATGGAAAAGATAATTTACTCCAAAATTGGGACTTCTAATTACTCCGTCAATTAATCGTTTTTTTAAAATAATTGTTAGCCAGCGTTCTAGCGGTTGTCAACAACTAGGCCGCTAGCTAAAAATTATCGGAAAAAACGATTAATTGACGGAGTAATTGGAAGTCCCAATTTTGGAGTAAATTATCTTTTCCAGACAGTCCATCCGGGCCTTAAAGGAGAATTTACTGTAAACACCATTTAATCGTGACAACTTGTTATTTCCACGATATCAGAAAGTGATTTAACCAGAATGATCTTTCCTGCGACGTGGGATGACTGATCGACAGCAAAACCCTGTGTTTCCTGGAGAGAAAAACAGATATCCTTGACGTCAACAAATGCAACGACTCAATCAACACGCAATAGAGAGGACAGAGAACGTCAAAACAAGTGCTTCAACATTAATTCTGACATCACCATGAATTTTTATCAAAAGTCCAACGACATTTCCAAATTTCTATCCGATTCTCTATTCGCCACTCCCCAGACATCAAAGTCATCAACATCAATGAACAATCTGCCATGCTGCAGACAGGAAATTGCCACATCACCTTAATTTTTCAAATGAAATTCATTCGCCCTCTCAATTAATCACCAAAGAACATCAAATACCAAAATTGGGGTTGAAATCTCTTGAGTCCAGCTTTCAGTTTAATTTGTATTGCTTGAGTCTCCAAGGAATCGCGTGGTTTTGGGGGAAATCCTTGATGATTCTTTTAGCAGAATTCATCAACAGTTATTGGTTGTCCAAATGATTTGATAAGGTCTGACGAATTTTTTAGTTTCATCTGCCTGTTTTTTTTCTTTCAATATCAACTGGTGATTTTAATTCGGGGATTAATTGAGTTAACACCGCACCTGATGGATCCAAACATTAATATATAGCTAGCTGAGGATTGGAGTGGAGCATTGACCCAGTTGAAGCGGCGGAGGGCAATGTTGGGGGCTGTGGAGACCCAGGAAATCAGGACACAGAAATGGGAGACTGGGACGACCTGGATCGAGCGCTCCAATTTTCCTCGACCCCTGGATAACCTGGCCAGTAGTCTACGTTTGTGTACATCAAAAGCTGTCCCAATTTCATGACCCATCCTCCATCTCCCTTCACTTATCCCCGTCTACGTGATTTGTTTCCGGATAATGATAATTATAGTCGAAATATTTGGCCATTAATTTAGGAATATTTTGCGAAATTGGGTTGACCCATTTTTGTAATGGCGCATATTTGACGATTTGACGTTGAAACCTATTTATTTATTTATTTGATTATTTATTTTGTATTTTTATATATTGTGAAGGGTGAAGTCGGGTTTGTAGTTTAGTTTCGGTTTAGTTTTGACCCTCAATAGTTCATTCTTATTTTTATATTTGACCCTCACAGTTGAAGTCTCAATATCGTATTCTTTCGATAGAAATCAAGAAAATACTAAATTATACGAATTTTAGTTTTTTGTGTACGCGAATAACGGGTTGACCCAATATTTTCAGCCCTCGAAACTTGACTCTTATATTTCACCCTTAAAATTGACCCTCAGAAAATTAATTTCTCCATGTCACAATTTTTCACTAGAAATTGAGCAAAAAATTATTAAATTATACGTATTTTTGTGGTTTATTCTTTGACCTTCACATGTTGACCCATTATTTCCAGCCCCTCAAACTCGACTCTTATATTTCACCCTTAAAATTGACCCTCAGAAAATTCATATCTCCATGTCACAAATTTTCACTAGAAATTGAGCAAAAAATTATTAAACTATACGCATTATTGTAGTTTATTATTTGACCTTCACATGTTCACCCATTATTTCCAGCCCATCAAACTCGACTCTTATATTTCACCCTTAAAATTGACCCACAGAAAATTCATATTTCCACGTCACAATTTTTCACTAGAAATGGATGAAAAATGACTAAATTCCCCGGATTTTCATCGTGTATTACTTGACCCTCAGAAAATTGAAAAATTCCGCAGAAAGTGCCAGAAGGCTCTGACAAAATGGCGGAAAATTTCCAAAAAAAAATTGCACACGTCTTTAATTGCGAAGGAAAATCCGAAAATTGACGCGAAAAAAGGTTCAAGTGGAGAAATTAAAAGACGACAAACACGTACACAACGCCACGTGCCACGACGCAGTTGCAATTGCACGTGTGTCAGTGCACGTGCCGGTTGGGAGGCGCGCAGTTTAGCCGGCGTCGCCGTATCTATATGACTCTGTACACTATGACAACACTTGCACTCGACCCATTGTCCTAGTTTCTGGCTTCCCGCTCCGGGTGCCGACAGCACCCACCCACCCACTGAGGCCAACCCCTGGACCTCGACAGCCGAGTTAAACTCCAACCCCTTCAACTCCAATGTTTCCTCTCCACTCCCATCTATGAAATTCACCCACCATTTACCCGAGTCTCTCCCCAAAAAAAATAAAATCTCCACTAAAAAGTCAAACTCAACTG